TGAATGAAAATCGAGTAACTAAAAAGATCTCCTCGGCCAGACCATTCGGCACCCGGAAAAAAGGCAGACTTAAACTTAGGTGGTTCGACTGTTTGGAAACAGACTTAAGAATTTTAAAAATAACCAATGGGATGTCCATGGCCAGGGATAGAAGAGCTTGGAGTTCGATTCTGAGAAAGGCAAGGGCCCATCCTGGGATGTCTGACCATTGAAGAAGAAGAAGTACATGAAAAACTAATATGCGTAAAAAGTCTAAAAAGGCCAAACGAACTAATTACAATTATATACAACTAGGGGAAACCCTGAACAAAATAAGCAACAAAATAAAATGGTCAGTGTTTAAAACCTAAACAAGGGGCAGCTCGAATGCGTGTTAAATTAGTTTTAATTTGAATCGAAAAAAACCAGATAAACTTTAAAACAAAACGCTGCTGAGGTGGCTCGAATTTATATTAAAAGCTGATAAAGATACAGAAGAAGCTACCGAGAGTTACGAAGAATTAAAAAAAATAATAAAGGTCACAAAACAAAACAAGTTCCCGCGCTTAATGGGAATGTTTGTAATGGTGACGAAATGAAAGGGCAAGAGGGCGGAATGACTGAAAAGAAGGCTACTGAATGACCATCATGGAGTCGTTTCAATGTACAAGGTGCTATGGAGAGTCATCCAAGATGGCAAGTCCTCTAAGTTTTAACAGCTGCAAATAACTGGCTCAAAAATTTCAGAAAATGAAAAACGTGGTTAAAAATGTCGGAATTTTTCACGCAATCGAGCTTTAGCGCGTCTTACAGAAATAATGAAAATGGCTGCTTTATTTAGTAACAGGAAAGAGAGAATTTGCCAGTAATTACTTAGAGTACGTAATTAATAGTACTTTTAGAATTTCTGGCTAGAAAATCAGGATACAAGAGAAGCTTAATTACATATTCACATTAAATTTCTTGCATTAGTCATCCATAAAATTACCTTCTTTTCAGGTTTGGGTAAAATATATCGTATCACCTTGTAGAGACCTTTGGTATTTTTGGAAGCAGGCAAGATGAAAAATTAGCAACACCTTCGCCGGGAATCGAACGACGGATCTCTGGAACACGCTCCCAGTGTACAGACAACCGCAGCACGAAGGCATGCCAAGAAGGCGGGAGAAATACCTTATCTACTCCCCCTTTTAAAGGACGACTGGGGTTTTTAGGGGACACAATCACCAAATTCTGAGTGTGAAGAATCTCATCCAACACCCTTTTAGTTCGGGCGCCACTGTAGAGACATTAGGTATTTTTGGAAGCAGGCGAGATGAAAAATTAGCAACGCCTTCGCCGGGAATCGAAACACGGACTTCTGGAATACGCGCCCAGCGTGCAGACCTCCACACCACGAAGGCATGCTAAGAAGGCGGGAGAAATACCTTTATAACGTTATACAAGCTATCTAAAAGATAAAATTAATGCCAGCTCTTTTTAAGGTATTTGGAATTGTGAATTTTGGAATGTGATTATGGAAAAGTATATTAATTAGGTATTTTATCTCTACTATAAGATGTTCTGTACTGTTACAAACATTTTTAATGTATATATATTCAAAAACGATGTGATGCAATAGTGTTGAAATTTCATCATTTATGAATTTTACTGATTTATTTATTTCCCTTAAGACAAATAAAATAATTTCAAGGGGAAAAAATTGTTTAATGCCAATTATTTCAAATAAACAATTTTCTCTCTTTACCTAATAACTGTAGGATTATTCTAAATCAACGAGTTTTAATTACGTTTTAGTACATTCTCATCTAAAGAAATTTTATTTTAAAAAGTGTAAAATTATAAATTTATTGTACAATTGTTATAACCATTATTCAAAAGCTTTTAGGCTGTTTTACTGTAAAATTTTAGTGAAAAATTGCGAATAATTAAAGGCCCTCCTTTTATGCGCCTTTGGGATTTAGTAGTTATCTCGTCTAATTAACATCTGAAAGGTCTAGGTTTTGATTTTCGGCGGAGACTAGTAAGGACAAGGCGGAAAAATTTTCACAGAAATGGAAAAGGGCAACGGATCGAAAGGCCAAACAGAAGATAGGCATGGGCCGGTACTGTAGGATATGCTCAAAATATGGCATGCGACTTAATGGGTGGATTCGGCACACGAGCAGTGTAACCTCAGCATTTCGGTGAAAGCTATTGCACGATGTATAATGATTTTAGCGAGGCCGAATTGCTACTATTGTGATATATGTCCGACAGGCAGTCCAGAAGAGGTCATCTGGAGGCTGCGTCACTGGGAAGCCAGAAGAAGACTGAAGTGTGACAAGTGTAGCGGAGGAGTACGGGATCGCTCACAGTATCGTTTCACGAGCCTGGACAGCATTTCAAACGGCAGGAACAGTTATTTGGGCGTTAACTAGGGATCGTCGGCTCAGGCAATTTGTACGTTGCATGTAGGTACCCCGCGTGGTGCGCTACCCTGGTCGAATATTTAGCCGATTTTCGGTTTTATAGAGTTCCGAAACATGTGCGTGGCATAATCGTCTGCGAGCAACAACGGCGGTGGTCGATCGGCGTATTGTTCTACTGCCGAAATGAGACAGGCGGGAGACAGCGATGGATATCCCAAGGCACATGCAAAGACTACTGAACATTCGATACCACATTTTATCGTAAGCAGGAGACTGCATACACGTGATTTATATGCACAACGGCCAGTAAGGTGTGTGCCTTTAACGCCTGTTCATCGGAGACGCTGGTTTCTGTGGAGCTGAGAACACAAAACTGAACACAGCAGGAGTGGAATCAAATGTTCTTTACAAATGAGATCCAATTTATTCTGACGAGCAGTTCTGGACGTATACATATCTCGAAAGAGAAGGGAACACGGAATCAATCCTTGAACATCATCAAAAGGGACCGTTTTGGAGGTGCTGGAGCTCTCCGTTTGGGGAAGTATCAGGCCTAATAGCCGTAGTGACCTTCACATCTCCCAAGGAGGCTCAGTCACTGGTGTTGGCAAATGTACCGATGTTCTCTTGCCACACCTACGTCTGTTTAAAGGTGCTTCCGCTTCATAGACGACAACGCTACACCTAATCATACAGTAGCTGTCGCTGAGCTCTTGGAGAGTGAAAGTATTCAATGCATGGATTGATCTGCAAGATCCCTTGACCTAAATTACACATAACAGGTGTGGAATCATCTAAGGAGACGCTTTGCAACACATGACCAGCCGCCAGCAAAGATATCGCAGCTGAAATTGGATCTACAAGAAGAATGGGCTACGATGCTTCAACAGCTCCTTGACAACCTTGTCTTCAGCACGGATAAAGGTTGTAATTTCTGCATGGCAGTCAGTTCTGATCATATCACTTTCTGAAGATTTTTCTAGCCAGGCGCCTCTCACGTAGACATTTGTGTCTTCTCTGCAGGTGTGCTCAGAGCTGTCTTTTAAATAAAACGGCTTTTTTTTTTTTTTTTTTTTTTTTTCATTTTTGGGAGGATATTATTGTATGATTTGGGTAGATGTGAAACACTTCTGCACTACGTTACATTCGAAAACTCACCTTGTCCTCAAATTTACACACCCGTGTACACAGATTAACTGATATATAGCGAAAACTCTCATGATGACCACCTCCCCTAGATAAGAAGATCATTAATAATCTAGATAACCAATTTCACCTCCACAAGACAAAACAGAAAGTCTTGAGAAGTTTCATTAGAGAGGAGAAAAACCCTTTTTTTTAAAATAAATAAATTAATTAAATAAAAATATTTCAAAAAATCATATAGCATCGATAATTTCTATCTTGCAACTTATTTGATAGTTTGTACGTTCTACATTTTCAACTGATTTTCATATGTAGGAGAAAGATAAAACAATTTCTGAAATTCTGCGTTTTTAAAAAGTAGCTTAAATATTTTAAAATTTCAAAGAAGGAATGTTTAGTTTCTACTCGCATCGCTGCGCACAGCACAATTTTTAATATTTCTAAATCGTAACTTTTCTAAATTGCTATTATTCTTAAGGATATACTTAAAAATTCTTTTTATCCACAGTTCGCGAAGCATAGTTATATCGTATAAAATACATATTTTAACTATTAAATAAACAGTTTGTATTCTCATTATTTTTATGTTAACGAAATGAAAAGAATTTTTATTGCAAAATTCTAAATGTGACGTGCCTTATTCCAGTTTAAAATTTTTGCAATGTGAACGATGTTTCTAATTTATGTCTAATTTAATATAAATATTTATTTGTATTATAAACATTTATTAATGATTTAATATCAGTACAAAAGATATTTAAAAACATCGTCGCACAGCTTTTTTATTGTCTTCAATTTCATTATTACCACATGTGTTTAAATCCACCCAGTAAAGAAATAGCTGTTTCCATTACCTTTTCATAAAATTCTTCGCTGCATTCGAAGTATCGTATTATTGTAACGATTACAGATTATTGTAATGACGTTAGAAAATAGTGTTTTTAATCACAGAGCAGGATCTGTAAGCGACTATCCAAAAGCAATTTTAAAATTGAATTCATTGAATTAGTACTCACAGTAAGCATGAAATTTTATCCTACTACTTACAAAAATGAGAAACGGAAAAAAAAAAAAAAAAAAAAAAAAAAAAAAAAAACTCAAACATTGGAAGCATACTTCCTTTGAAAATTATTATTGATGACGAACATTATTATTGACGAAAATGATTCAATGAGAAGACTGATTATGATAAATGTTACGAAATCGATCATAGCGACATAATGAATTCACAATTTCCTGCGCAACACTCTTAAAAAAATGTTGACAATTTGAAATGAAATTCTAGCTTATAATATCAACAACATCAAGTTCCTAGCGCTATCAGACACCAATCTTTGAACACTGTTTTAATCGATCATATTGCCTAGGTAACACACTCAATTGACTCAATAGATTTTGGTCAAAAAGAAAACACCTGGGCAAGTTGCTTAAAATCGCCTTCATTTTGAATAAAAGTAGGTTATTTTCCACCCTCGCGATACTTTAGGAGTTAAACAATACACGCAAAATAATTTATTTCCGTCATTAAAATACTTTGATTTCCAAAGAAGAAATGCGCAACTTACTAGTACTCTGAACTTGTTGCTCATCATTGTTTCCTGTTTTAAATAAATATTTGAGGCTGTTTAGGGAAAACTTTTGTCCATGAATTGGAGCGCTTTTCATGTAGTATAAGGTAAGTTCTTTCAGTGCTGTTTTATATGCAGTTTCTCTTCCTTTAACGTTTTATCGAAAATTTCAATGGAGAGGAAAATATTTCGTTTCTTTACTCAATTACACAATTAACGACAGGGTTTATTTAAATGTATTAAATTAGATTTGTAATATTAATTTTACATTTTATCTTAAAAATACTAAAGGATAATTTTGAGATGAGAATTTGAAATGTAGCAATATTGAGTTAAAACTCTTCAAAAAGTTCAAAGTAGAATGTAGCAATATTGAGTTAAAACTCTTTGAAAAATTAAATTTTACAGTTACATTGAAATAAAATGACATTTTCGTTTTTGGGATATTATTTAGCTTTTAAAAATACTTTTTAATTTATGTAGATAGCCTTTTAACAATTATTTGTATTAAACAGTAAATAAGCATTATCTTTATTACAGATTTTTTTATTAACAAAGATAACACAGTAGACGTTCATAAATATGGGAATATACTCGTATTTAAAAATTGATCAGGAAAGATGGGAAATGCGAACAACAACTTTGTACAATTACCAACACTTTTATCTCCTTTTTGGGAAGGGTTAACTTAAAAAAAAAAAAAAAAAAATCTAAGTTATCTTAATTAACTTCGAACTACTAGATATTAAATAATCTCATAATAGGAGAAATACAGTGAACTCGTTTTAACTCCAAATCATCAAAATTTCAATTTATCTTAATTGATAAACTGAAATTTTATATATTCGAACAAAAGCTAAATTTCTGAAAACTTTAATTAAATAGAAATAATATTTGGCTTAAAAGTAAGTTATTCCTCGCGATACTTAGGAGTTAAGTACTACACTCGAAGTAATTTACTTTCGTTTATTTCGTTATTAAAGTACTTTGATTTCCAAAAAAGAAATGCGCAACTTATTTAGTACTCTGAACTTGTTACTCATCATTCTGTTTCTTGTTTTAAATGAGGCTTGTTTAGGAAAACATTTTGTCCATGAATTGGAGCGTCTTTCATGTAGTATAAGGTAAATTCTTTCAGTGCCTTTTTATATTCAGCTCCTCTTCCTTTTATTTTTTCTCGAAAATTATCAATGGAATGAAAAAATATTTCGTTTCTTTACGTAATTATACAATTAGCGAAGGTTTTATTTAAACCAATCAAATTAGACTTGTAAAACTAATATTCATTTTAATCACTAATATTTATTCTGAAACACCAAATTAAGTCTTTTATAGCAACTGTTATAAAAATAAAATGTTAAATTCATTATTAATGAAGGTAGCTTTCTATAATGCCCTTAGTTATTTTTGCCTGTTTTTATATATATATATATATATATATATTATATATATATATATATATAAGAAATTTGATATAAATCAAGCTCTTCACTCACATTTATATTATTATTTAAATATTAAATAGAAAAATTTTCTCCACATCCTGATGTAGCTGAGTTTAGACTAAATCTTCATTTTGCCCTGATTTTTATTTTTGTCATCAGCGTAATATCTGCAATGAAGAAAATAAAATGCATCTTTCAGTTTGAGTAAGTATGACACACTTTTTCATCAAACTGACCTATAAACGTTATCTTTCTTTTGATTTTGAAACTGTACCCTCAAGGATGTGCAACACCTTCTAGAATATCAAATATTTTCTTTTTATTTATTTTTTTATTTATATTTTTTCTGTTAAATTGTAGTTTTTTTACTTTTAATGGAAAAAGCTAATTAAGCATCAGTAACTGCTAATAAATAGTTTCGTACAATGTGTAATTTAATAAATATAGCTTGTGTTATTTATGCATATTTTTATAATAGAGGAAATATTACTATGCATAAAGTTATTTAGTCTCATCTATATTTTAAGAGTTTAAAATAAAAAGACGAATCTTCTCATTGAGTTTAGGGTAGATTTCTGATGCAAACTGGTGGGAAGAGAAATTTTTATTGTAATAAAGGGCACAAGACCTACCTGCCTAAGCTTCATTCAAAACGTAATCTGGAGCAGCCCTGTATAGTCGATAGTATAGCTGCCCTACTTGACAGATGGTTTATCTTTACATGTATTTCAGTCGACAGAGTCAACTACCCGCTAAACCACAACCTAAGACGGCAGGGGGGCAGGTTAAATGGCGTTCGTTGAATTATTTAAGAAAATTTGCAATACAGTTAATTTAACATGCGTATGCATCTAACGTAAATGTATACAAACACACAGGAATGATATTACAGTAGACGTGAATAAAACTGTAACAAGTATAAAGATGAGCTATCATTACAGGAACAGAAAAAAAAAAGACAATAAAATGATATTTACAGGCACAGTGGTACAGAAAGTTTTCAGCGGCAAGACTTGATAAAATTACCATACAATGATGCTAATTATACAATTAAATGGCTGAAGAAAGAAGGGCTGAGTCCGTGACATATGATGCCTTACTTGCAGTTGAAACTATTAAAAAAAAAAAAAAAAAAAAAAAAAAAACCTGAAAAAAGGTGCAGGTACAATACGAAAGTAATAGGTTTGTTGGAATCCGAACTAAACAAATTGTAAGCTGCAATGTAAGAGCGGCAGGAAAGCAGAAAATATATAAAGAACTAATATGAATTCATACAGATACAGTAATAGAGCGCCGTCCAGCCGGTATAGTGGTTAGTGACCTTGATTGCCGTAGCGACGGGCCCAGGTTCGAATTCCGGAGAAGGCATGGTTGTAATTGCCCTTCCCTTCATAGAAGGCAACGGTGATCACCTGTTAGGTGCTTCCATAATGAAATGGCAACCACTTCCGGCCCTTGTAGTGGCGCAAGGCTAATGGCCATTATATAAAGCGTCCGGGCATTTAAAAAAATAAACAGCGAGAGAGTACAAAGAATAGCACAGGGCGAAAGGATACAAAAGATTTAAGTATACAAAAAAGTATATTAACTAAGAACCAGTGAAATATGGCAATTAAAAAGTAACGCTGTAATTATGAGGTCTGAATCGAGTATGGCATAATAAAAAGGAAAATACTTCGGTCTCGGAATCGAGTATGGCATAACACAAAGATCAGATACTACAGTCCCAGAAAATCAGATGCAAAGGCCTCGTACGATTCTTTCACTACTATTAGCTTCTCGAGGGAATTTTAAAATCCTTCCCTTCCGCAAAGATGTTACAGTCACACAGTTCAATACTTTATTCAGATTTCGGACTCAAGCTAATCGGCGGGACAATCAGCTTTCAATAATTCCTTTTACCATATAGAGCAGCTAAACTGCATGGTATCCAATCCTGAAAGCTACATTCAAAATTTAATAAAATTAAAAAAAAAATGATTTCGGACGACAATAACAACCATCTGATGAAAGTCACATTTTCAAATCAAACTGCATCCGATGATAAGAATCGTAAATGCTTTAAATTAGCCTAATAAATATTATAACCGGCCTATATCTTCAGCGTGCTTTAAAAAATTAAAGTCTATTTAAATATAAAGTTTATTTAATTTAATTAGTCTATTTAAAATTTCAGGAATTTTTTTTTTCACAATTACGTTCATATTTTATAATTGCTATTTGTTTCAGATACGTGTAAAGCAAAGTTCACCCGATTAGTTTTACGTACAAGAACGATATTTCGGTAATTTATAAGCTACTCAAATGCCGGAATAGAGACCTACTTATACGAAATACAGCTTAAAGCATTCTGAATAATTGGATCAGCTTTAAAAACTGAGAGGAAAACAAAATAAACTGACTAAATGCTTTCAGAAGACACGAGTTCAGGTATAGTACCTACTACTCTATGCTCGTTCATGCGGACATCAACAAAATCTGATTATTTTTCAAGCCAAAAGTCAATTAAATTAAACTACGGAAAAAATGAATTAGAAATTTATATTATCTTAAAATATTATTTGTGGGTCGTTTGCTGTCGTAAACTACCGAAATGTAAGACTCAGTCCCTCCCTCAAATAAAATCAGATGCAGTAACGTACTCTTAACATGCAGAAATCCTCAGGTTTTTACTTTTAACAAACAATAAAATAGAGTAAATAGAAGAAAATCATATGAGCTTAATCATGAATGAAATACAAAATTTTTCATTTTAAAAAGCGATTAGAGATCGAAGCTCAAATGGTATGCATCTATTATTGTACAGGTGCTCCTCCAATGGGCTGTGGGGCAAGTGTCGACGGAGATTCCGATTCACAGGCTTCTCTTGAAGAGTGGGAAAAAGTTCAAAGGCGACGTACTTCAGTTTTATCAGAGGTATCAGACGCAGATTCTGATTCGAGTATAGGAGTAAGAAAGAATTTGCAGGATATAGATATGAAAACTTCTGGCTTTCAGGTAATTCTTTTAACTGTTTTTTAGTTACTAGCGCAACAGTAATTTTTATATATGTATAAACTCAAAACTAGGAAATGCGAACTAAAAAAAAAAAAAAATTGAGAAATTGAAGAAATCAGAAATAAAAGCAAAGGTATCTGTGCATGCTAACGGTGGGGAGAGGGGAACTTCTCTTTACAAAATGATGCTTATATTATAGGCCTATAATTTAAAAAAAAATAGTTTTCTCTTATGAAACGTTAAGCACTGTTTTTGATTTCGCAGCTGGAAAGAGATACGTATCAAACTGTTACCGATTTTAGGTTTTCAGTAGGCGTTCATGGAAAAATAAATTCTTTTAATGCATTTTTCTATTCTTCAGGAATAAACATAAACAATTAAAGGAAAAAGCGAACTGCTGCAATCCGAACTTTCAAGACTATCGTATCTATCAGACAACTTTTGGTAGTTGCAAACAAAATGGTTTAATTTTAGAAGGGGTTTCCTTGCCATTAATAATTCTAGAAATTCATGATATTCATTTCAATTTGGTCACGACTTTCTCTCAAAATACACCGGAGTTAAAAGTTTAAAGATAACTGATGAAAATGAGCGTAACTCTCTTTGCTTTGAGATAAAAACAAGAAATTTAAAAAATATTTATAATTTTGTAATTAGAGAATGACATATGAACATACAAAGAGGATTAAAAAAAGTAAATTACACTTGATCATTGCAGATCGGGGAACTTTAATTGAGAGGTTCATTGTAACACAGTATAGTAAGGATACATCACACTGTTTCTTAACATAACCGCCTATTTTTTGTAAACCCTTGTCAGAAATTTCAACTAATCTTTCAGCGCTCTATGAATGTAAATCTGCCTGTTGCCGACAAAAATTTTCCATCAAAAACTGATGTTTTCTCCTCTCTGTTAATGGAAATTTGTTGTCCACTCTGTCAAGAACTGTGTAATTTTTATGACTTTTACTTTGCTGTGATTCATATCATCAGCCTGCAGGACAATATTTTCTGTGATCGCATGATACCTGTTAAATAATTACCGCTCCGTTTTCTCTGGATCAAAGGTCGGTCTCTCAGTAATGTGAATCGGTTCTTTGAATTCCGGAGCGGATCGTCCACCTCTAATATATATACGACCTTGCCGGTCGGAGGACTAGAATGTTGCTGGGAATATTGAAAGATGTGGGAATATTGAAAGAAAGGGAAACAATGTGGAATTTCTCAGGTAAAAATGGATTTATTATTCAAAAAAAAAAATTTTTTTTTTCACATTCATTTTACAGCATCAAAGGCTCTTAACAGCATTTTCTGTTCCCATTCAGAGGCTGATGCCTCTTACGTCTACAAATATATATATATATATATATATTATTTTTTTTTAAAGCTGGCTAAAATCTTTTTCTCCCACAACCAAGCAATCGCTCTGGGAGAGAATTCTCTGACCCAGATGGAAATTCTCAGTGGCAGGGTATAAACTTGTAAACGGCTACAGATCGCTGGAATCAACCTGTCGGATTCTAATGCGTAGGAAACTCTGTAAATACTCACATCGAAGCAGCAGAATCGAAGATGACTCAGCGATTCCTTCTGAACATGTTTAAAATTGATTTCTATTGCAAAAGTGCGCGTTATGTAGTTTGTTCATTTTTTTTTCGACAAATTCAGAAATGAAATAATAGTCAAACGGTGGAATGTTTAAAAGCATATGCTTCTAGGGATGTTACGGAATACTTTCTTGCCGAATTATAAGGGGAAAAATTGATGTCCAAAAAAGCATATGAAAAGTAATGAACATAGAATACATTAGCTTCTTTATATTTAATGATGTAAGATTATGTAACGTAGAAATCCATATAGACTTATTATGTATGAATAATAATACATAAGAATGTATTTTTCTGAGCTATTTCTCTATATTTTAAGGATGCTAGGTCTGAGTGAAGATGCAGTAAGTATAGCGTATGATTTTCAAAAAGTGCAATAGGAGGTTAAATATCGTATGATAAACAGTAAATAAAAATAATAAATAAAAGCTTATGTTTATTCTGCAGTAAATATGTCAATATGAGTTCTTTAAACAAAATCACAAAATCTAATTGATTATTTGATTTTAGTTCTTCAAATGTTTCTTCAAAAAAAGTAATATGCTGCTCTGATATTAACGAAATGCTGGATCGCATTTTAATGAGACGATAACATTTGTCGATTATCATTTTCCTCCCTCTGAGTACTAGTTTTGATTTCGCATTGGGAAGAGATACGTATCAAACTGCTACCGATTTTAGATTTTCAGTAAGCGTTCATGACAAAATAAATTCTTTTAAATGCATTTTCTATTCCTCAAGAATAAACATTAACAATTAAAAAAGGGAGCTGCTGTGATCCAAGCTTTCAAGATTAGCGCATCTATAGGACAGCGTTTGGTGGCTGGAAACAAAATGGCTTTGATTTTAGAAGCTGTTTCCTTGCAATCAACAAATCTAGAAATTCATGATGTTTATTTCAAGGCTTTGACTGTATAGGACGCTATGTCGCATGATTCAAAGCTCAGTAAATGTTGCATCAATATTTGTTCCAACTTATTTTAGTTCTGCCAGGAACGGTGCATAACATTTAAAAATTATAAACTTAAAAAAACAAAAACAAAATTATAATCCACTTTGTTCAGACAATGGTTTCTAAGACACTTTAAGCATTATACACAGCTTGATTTCTTTCCATCATCGACTACACAGAAGTAATGAATAAGGTGTAAGCTAACAGACACTTGTCAGGAATGTAACTAAAACAAAAATCATTATTACTCATGTTTTATTAATTGCTGATTACAAAGTATAAGACATTTTTTCCTCAGACAGCAGTTTCCAAAAGCAAAATATAGCATTACAATCACATAACAAATTTTTTTGGGGAAAGCAGAAATGAATTTGCACTGCCAATCAAAACTTTTTCAACACGTCCCGCTTAAACGCCTCATACGTACAGCGTGAAGCATCGACGGGACGTCACAGCGCCTGGCCGTTATATTTATACCAGCTAAACGACTTTAACATAGAATACAATGTTATAGTCTCCAGAGACTCCGGCACTCATACTAAAAAATAATAAATAAATAAATAAACAGGTAAATAAATCTGAAAGCTTTCATATTCTACATTACGCCCAAAGGGGCGTTTTTTTTTAACATTTCGTGTGTTACCTTTATTTATTAAATATCATGTTCTTTGTACTTAAACCATAAAATTCAGTTCAACAATAATATCGCAAAATAATTTTTAAATGAGCCTATTAGAATTTCCGATACACAGTCTTGCGAGCTGGAGATAATTCTTTTTTCCCGTAAAGTGTTGCCATTGCTCGCTGTTAAATCGTTGAGTTCGTTAATAAAAAATTCGTTACGTTTTACAAAATATGAAATACATAATAAAACAAATTCCAAAGTCGGGCTTCCAAGTGCCCATGTTCGGTTGGAAGACCATGTTATTCAAAATTTAGCGGCTCGAGGTACCGTTGTTTTATCACAATGTGAGAAACATAGATTTATGCAGATTCTTCATTATTTAACTTCTTTAAATATAATACAGGACTCTAATATTTGGAGGCAACAATTTGAAAAGTGAATCAACGTTTATAGAGAATCAGCGCAAAATGCCAAAACGAAATTAATAGTCCTTCTGGGCAAATTGCCCCTTTGGACAAATAAAGAAATAAAAAAAAAAATAATAATAATAAAAAAAAAATAAAAATAGCAGCGTGCTTTTATAACTTTTCCAAAAAGTGCAGCGCGGAACATGGTTCGTCAAAATTCTCACTTTTAACTGAACTGTGCGCTGAATGAATGAATTAATCAGGTAAAACTTTCTAACAGATTACTAATACATTTGTTGGAATAACAGGTCAAATCTTGCTGAGAATTACAGTTATATTACTAGCAGGTTAGATTTTGCTGGAAAGAATACGCTTGTTTGAAATTTCGAGGCTTCACCATCTCTTTGCGCCATCTTACTCCAGAATGCTATCTACACTTTACCCAGTACTAGTATCCCATTTATACCTAATAATGCATAGCGAAATTTCGCTTAAATTATGCTTTACTCTTCCAGATGGACAAAAATGGAGCAATCGTTCAAAGGATGTAGTGCTCGGGAATCGTTTTCTGTAACTCCTTTGAGCAGCCGCTTCGTTTTAGCCGTGGACCCGTAGATAAAATGCAGTGCATCTCGACGAGCTCCGCTTTTGTGAGCCATGCATACCGCTCAAAATTCGCACGAGGAATAACGATTTACATCAGTGGAACACTTTTACCTGCTGCTCAACAGGGTCTTGTACCACCGCAAAGCGCCTTTTCTGCACAAAATTTCTATTCTCAAACCTTATTTCAGTCCCCTCTGAATCTGCATTTATAGTTTTGTCAGATAATTTTGAATCATCCTGTATAGTTTGGATCCAGTGCATTTACCAGTTGAACTTTCTGACCTTTTATGCGTGAATCGAAACCTTTCCCCAGTGCGTAGTACTTCATATCTTAATATTGACACTACAAGTGGATACACTAACGCACAATTATTACCTCTGGAGATTCCCAAGATAGCTCTTAACTTCGATTCAAGTTCGTCATACAGTTTTTGAAACGAATGTGTATTTTGCTTTTGAATAACTAGAAATAGCAAGTCATGAATATCAATTTCAATTAAAAATTCTTCATTATCAAATCGCTTTCGCAATGATTTTATTGCATTTCTATAACTATCGCCGACAGGCGGAAAACATTTTATTACGTATTCCGCAGGATATTTTTTTTCATAGCCTGAGATAAGTAGGTAAATATATCATTATTGTCTAAGGTAGAATCTTGACAAAGTTTTACGAAATTTATCCCCCTTTTTTCACAGCGCCTTCAAAACTTAATAGTGTAATTTAGGATAACGCAAAAATCTTTTGAATGCAAGCTGGATCAGTGAGTGACACGTTAGGAGTACCTAAAACAAGTTCTTTTA